TGCCCACCACCTCCAGTCCCAGTAGCTACGGTCGCTTGCTTCGCTCATAGAGCCGATAGCCGCGGCAGTCACTGTCAACGGTCGTGCCACTGCCAACCCAACCTGCCAGCAGGATCTTGTGTCCCGCTCTCCTGGCCAACGGCATTGTCTCCTAACGTGGTTCATATGCCTCCATTGCCATCGTATAGCCGTCGACGCTGCCGCTGCGGTGTAAGTGCAATCATGACTTTATTTTCGCTGCCAACATTCTCTAACAGTGGCATGTAGCACTTTTAGCTCCAGCCACGCTGTCCAGAGCCTCCACTATGGCTCTCTTTGCCGTGTCGGTCCCGCCGACGCTGCCGCTGCTGTGTAAGTACCATCCCGACTTTATTTTCACTCTCAATTGCTCTCACTGTGATAGCTAACAATTTCAATACACCCATTAGCATTTCACCGTGGTTCTCTTTGCCTTTTCGGCTCTGGATGGTGCTCATCATCTTCAGCATCACCTTCGGCGTCAAACTTGGGTCCCTCCTCCTCCAAACCTTCTCCACCACGCCTCCTCCTTTGCTTTCCTGCAGCTTCATTGCGAGCGGATAGTTCTTGAATTCGTCATTGATTTATCATGCGTTTATGGGCGACTGCTGGTCTTTGGGTGCCATTTCAGAGTCTTTTAGCTGTGTGGACAGTATTGAGACGGCAAAAAGAGCCACAGAGACAACGTGAGACAATGTGCTTGTTATTAAAAGAGTTAGATGTCACAGTTGGCGTTTGTTGACAGCAAAAATAAAGTTGTGTTAGTGCATTTGGTGCTTTTTTGACCATTTTCTGATTGGTCAGTTTCTGATTGGTCGGTTTCTGATTGGTCAGTTGTTTTTTTGTGTTTTTGAAATTTTGCAGGTTCATACGGACCACCGTATTTTTTGGTAGGGAACATCAGGAAACTTCCTTCATTCTATTTATGCATTTCTTATGCATTTCAATGCATGTTGAGATAGAGGCGCTTTAGCGCAAACACTTTATCAAGTCAACCTGTTGATCCAGAATATCCAGGGAATGATGTTCCTCAATCATTGACTTCAAAACTGGCCATAAATGAGAACCAAAAACGCCAAGATAAATTGCGTGCAGGGCATCTGCAGTAATAGCTGAGTGTATACAGAATGTCCCTCGAATCCTGTTGAGGCCATAGAAAGCATTCCAAACAAACGGCATTTGGCCCTTTGCAGCAAATGCCTGCTTTTGCGCCCTGAAGCCATCTCTTCTCATGGACTGACTATAGGTGGCAAACATCTCTTTAGTGGTTTTGTGGCACCAGTGTGAGCAAGGGCGACTGCATTGATTGAGGTGGTTGGCTTGAATGAAACTGCATGGCATAGGCGCAGCATTACACGTTGGACTGACAGTTGCCGTGAGCGCCAGCTCTGGGTAATCCCCATTGAAATTGAACAAACATGGAAAGAATTGTCAGATTTGGCCATCAGGACTCTGTAGAGGAACACCGTCTGCAATCCAACGTTGAAGGTCATCCAAAATAACAGAAAGAGAAGCATGATGAGCAGCGGGTTTGTAGTAGCGAAGAAACTTGGAGCCTTTGTTGCTTGCCACAATTGAAGACGTAACAGGAAGATATGTTAAAAGAGTAGACGTGAGGTTGGAGAGCTTGTTCCGATAACTCTTCTGGATGTTCCCAAGGTCACACGTACATGGTTTAAACAAATTCTTCCCAATTTTTGTTGCCAATGCACCTTCAACATTGAGAATGAGAAACAAGGGTGTTGCTCCTGGGGGTATACGGGTCTGCATGCTCTCAGCATAGTCTCCTGAGAATGCTTCCTCAAATAGCTGCTCTCCATCAGCATTGTGTTGTTTTGCATATGTGTACAAAAAAACATCTCTCATTGAAGAATCTTGAAGTTTGCATCGAATGACATCGCAAATTGGGCAAAGGTATAGCTTGATTGGAATGCGCAATAATGACTTCATGCCATTTGATGGAATCTTGACGGCATGCTTCGAATAATGCGATCAATTGGGACTTCTTGCAGCTCATAGTCTTTTTGTGGAATGTTAGAAATGTGTCTCCACATTGAAACCTGATCCCAAAATACATACATCACTTAACCTTAAAGCCCCAATCCCGTCAATGGCAGCATGAAGCTGTTTTCCTATCTTGAAGGAAGGTACATGCTCAGGAAGCAGGCAAGGTTGATTGAATTCAAGCAATTTTGTAATTGATGCTTGTCCCTTCAGGTTCTCTATGATAACATGATGCATCATATCAACATCTGCTTTAGAGAAGTCCTTTTCAATGAGCGCTATGAGAGCAACTTCAGATTCTCAAGTGTTGGCATTGTTTTGGATTGAAATCCCTAAGTTATATTTGTAAGCTCTCAAATATGAAACAATATTTATCATTACCATAGACTTGATTGTTTTCAGCCTCAGGCTCATTGTCCTCCCAGTCAGATCCTCCCACACCATTGTCGACAATTCCACCACTAATATATCCACCACTTCTGCTGTTGTTTGCATCCATGTGTTGTACATTCTGTCTCTTCTGCAGCTCATCAACATCTGAATAGTTGAGAGGGTCATCAGTTTTGGCAGGGTCTGATGATAGCATTAAATTGGCATAATTGTGGGCCACATGCTCTGAATGCATTACCTCAAAATGCTTCCAAAGAGCGGCCTGAGTTTCGAAATTCGAGCAGGGTAGGGATGCTTCATGGCTGGCTGCATGTAGCAAGATTGAGCTTATATAAGTGTCTGAAGTGATACTTAGTTGCAGTGCACTCACGTTAAAGTTCAAGGGCTTCTTGTGGGGATTTGTGGGAGCTTGTGGGGATATGTGGAGTGGTTTTGAAATTTGTAAGATAATTCAAGACGCTAAACAGAAAGTGTGAAATATTGTGGGCTCAATATTTATTTACACGAAAAAACTTGCGAAAATGATGGGGGGCTCAAAGCCGTGGCGAAATGATCAAAACCTACCACCTACAGGTTCAGTCTTGGGCAACCAGCAGTCGCATCAGAACAAGGCCAAAAGTCAAGCTCTTTCCAGACAATCACTGGCGAAAGCGGCTCCTATTCACGCGGAAACGGTTCCACGCCAAGCCGCGGCAATGGCTCTAACGGCAATGCTGTCGGCACTGGCGAAAGCGGCTACAATGCTCTCAGAAATGGTTTATATCCTGTCAGAAGTGGTTCTTCCACTCGAGGCAACGGTTCAATTGCTGCTGATAACAGTTCCAACGGTTGTGGCAATGGTCCACCCAACGGTTCTGGGTTGCTCTGGAGGTTGTCCGCTTCTGTGACAAATACTCCTGTTGACAAACTGATGGAAGATACACCTCTTCTCTTTAATTTTCTCCACATACTGGTTGGTACAGTCCATTTTTTCCAACCCCAACACTAACCTCTAATTAAATTCGCACAAGAAAACTGTCGATGACTTTTGCTGTAATATGCTTAGCCATTACCACAAGTCGTTCCTTCTTGCTGATCCCTACTGAAGCGGTAGCTCTTTACTTGGGGTGCAGAACGAGTATGTTGAAGCAGCGTTGTTCCAGCCACTTACAGTCATATATTTCTTCTCCAGATTCATGCTTGATCTTTTCAATGCCGAAACACTGCGTATGTTTCAGAACAAGAATTTCCTTACCAGTGTAAAGCTCTTCATGATGCTTCCATGTGTGCACCACGGTTGTATAGCCGAAATGCTTTTGAAGTACCGCAAGATTAAGCCATTCCTTGCTATTGCATCCATTGTGTGTTTTGCTTTTGTTTTATTCTGCCATGTTAATAATGTTTCTTAAATCACAGATTCGCAACAGTATTCATTGTGTAACTGTTCCAAACTATAACCATGATGAGAAATTGGATTCCTATGACCAGTACAAAGAGTTTCTGGATGCCTATGATTCTGCTGCTGACAAGACTGGTGCCTGACGAACATTAACATGCATTTTCAGGCATCAACATGATACTTTGGGATTTCCTGACAAAGCCAATTTGCTTGTTTGATGTTTGTGGCAAGAGGTTCAGGTTCATGGATCAATACCGGGCTTTACCACCTGAACAACAGGACTCTAAATTCTGTGAAACTACAGTCTTCTTTAGATTCTCTAGATGTGCCAAAAAAGTTACGAGCCCAAAAGCATTGTCTTTGGCAAATGTGAAAGGGAAAAAAGAAACATGAAAATGAATGACAACATGGGAGAAGAATCAAATGCAACCTATTATAAACAAGTGATTCACAAGGAATCAAATTACTCAGTCGAGCATAAGCAAATTACTCAGTCGAGCATAAGCAAATTACTCAGTCTAGCATAAGCAAATTACTCAGTCTAGCATAAGCTTACGTGTACGGAGATTGGTTCTCAAAACGCAAAGACTTTGGAAGCTGATTTCAAACCCATCAAGTAAAGTCTATCAATCTAGAGGAGAAGTAGCCTCGCCGTTTCCTACCACCACTCTTTTGTTACTACCACGTTTCCCAATCATGCTTCCACCTAGTATCTGCCAAAAGGCTTGCATTGACCGGGAATCGAACCCGGGACTACCGCGTGGCAGGCGGTAATTATGCCACTAAACCATCAATGCCTGACACTTGTGAAATAGGCACATCTACTTGATCGCGTACCCCTTAGACAGAAGAGTCCACACAGAAGCTTCTATTACCTTATCTTTTGTGAACGGAAATTACTACGAAGAAAAGAGTAGAAAAGAAAAAGGATGTGGAGAACCTGGGCATTGATCCCAGTGCCTCTCGCATGCTAAGCGAGCGCTCTGCCATTTGAGCTAGATCCCCATACCATTCTTAGAAACATAGTAGTTATATAGATGTAAAACCGCCAGAAACATCCCAGAAGCGCGAAAGCTCACCGTTAGTCATTATTGGGTGTGAGAAAATAGAATCCCTCCGAAAAAGTGATTTCGCGGCAAAAAGCGCGAATTATGACCCAACGCTCCATACTAAGAGCCACGGCGAAAAGCCGCGAAAAAGACGCCGCGGCTGGAGATTGTGGGGATTGATCCCACGGCCTTTCGGATGCAAACCGAACGCTCTACCACTGAGCTAAATCCCCTGCGTGCTTTCGAAAACGCGTCAACACCCTGTTACTGCCACTGAGTATTCCCAACTCAGCAGCTGTATGCAATCGGCGGTTTATCATGTCAAGTTTGTCCCACTTCTCTCCCCAACTGCGGAGCGTGTATTGAGCGGAATCCAGCCAGCAATCACCAAATCAACCGTCGAAAACCACTATAACATGTATGGTCCTTTTTCTTCGAAGACAAACAAATTTCAGCTGCCGCGGTCCTCGTAAACTGTGCCAGTGTGCCTAGTGTAGGAGGCGCGTTCACTTTGGACAAGAGAAACTTGAAAGTAATCCTGTTGGATAAAAAGTCCAAGTACCATGAACTGGGAAGCTTTGCTTAATTCCGAGTTGCAGGATGGTAACTAATATTATTCATAATAGATTCCTAGAGAATCTACATGCAGCTTCAAAACACAGTTTGAAGAAAAAGCCACCAAGCACCAAAATGGAACAAGACACAGCCGAGACTGGTGCTGCGCCAACTCCCCTTCAGGCATCCATTGCAAATCTCCGTGATTGGGATATTGTCAACGAACAGAAGCACTGGCGATCGGTTTCTTATGAAGAAAGAATAACCCCACTGCCGATACCACTTCCACCCGCACAGCCAGCCTTGGTCCCTCAACCCATACCCCCGCCTTTGAACCCAACTGTGGTGGTCAAAGCGCCTCCTCCTGCGCCAGAGGCTGTTCCACCAAAGCAGAGCAAAGCCAAATGCCTGTTACGCCATCGCCTCCTCCAAATCTAGCTTCCGATCATAGTCATACCCCCATTTCAATATGCTCGTTTAATACCTCTCTGGTCTCCGAAACTGAACGATCGATTCAGCCATCAAATACACGTGCTGAGAGAATCTTGGACTTTTGTCGAACTGTCCATGTTGTGTCCCTTCAAGAGGTAATGGCGATGCACATTGACATGAATATATGCTGATTTAAACCGTCAAGGTTTGGGGACCAGGTGTGGATGTATTGACAATTGGCCTATCTGCATCGCACTCGATTCCTGCTGGTCTTAGATCCACAAATATCCCAATGATTACAAGCACCGTCAATACATTGGCTTTTTATTTTTCTCGAACTGGGGGCCTCTGGGTTGCGCATTCAAAAGTGGGTGGCTGGGGTGATAGACGTGACGATGAAGGTGGATGTTATCATCACCGTAAAAACTATCCAGACCACCGTATTTACCGAACTCTTTTACTCTCTAGGAGAAATCCTGAATTCCCCGAGTCGCGCACAGCCCCGTTATCCTCCATCAAAACGGCCGATTCCGCAACTCTCACTTCCTTCAATTCCACTCACTGTCCCATCTTTAAAAGCGCTCTCCACTTCTCCTGGCTCGTCCTCAAATAGCCGAAATTCTATACGTGCTCTTTTATTGGACATGTCTGAAGCTTGGGGTGCAGGACGACGTCTGCTTCTGTTCAACTTGCAATTGGATGCACGTAAGAATGAAAAGATGTTGCTTTTAGAGAAATAATCTTGGAAACTTTCAACAGATGATTCTGTGAAACGACGACTACAACTTCGCGAAGTTTCTCTGTACATTCAAGAAGTTGTGTTTTCATTGACGTCTCTCATACCGCTGAATCATTATGGCAATAATAACACTACAACATCGCCACCAAATTCCGATGGATCCTCACAAAGCAGTCACTACTCAAACTCATTCCGTCATAGACGAAGCTCGTCAACACCTCACCCATCAGTAAAGAAATTCAACCCTACTGCCTCGCAGTATCGTGGAACAGAAGAATTCGACATGATTGATGAGTACGCAGCGCCACCCGCACCCTCTTCAAAACTTGGGTCCTCGCTGCCTGGGTCCCCGCACTCACTTCTATCTCAGCTTGGAGCCTCAGCCACCGCAAACCTTGAAGCCAGTCTGTTTGGAGGATCTGCTCAGCCATACCTCTACGGAAACGCGAACGCGGCTTTGCCTCCCAAGTTACTTCCGCACTTGCAAACTATTGCCAAAGACACGGCCGTGATCATTACTGGCGACTTCAAAATTAATGCACTCAGCACGGAATATTCTCAACTTTTGGGACTCTTGGGCGCGCCAGAAAATGGGGGCAAAGTAATTGATCTGTTTGCTGGAACAAACGACAGCGATACCGTAGCTGGAGATGGAAGGAATCGGCTGGTAAAAGCAGGGAGCGTGTTGGGGAGAGTCGATTACATGTTGAATGGTGTTTCATTGGCGTTACAGACTGGTGGGATGGGGTTGCAGTTTTTGGAAATTGAAATGGTGGAAGGTAAAGTTGTGAGAAGTGAGAAGGGGGAAGAAATGAGTGATCATTGGCCATTATGGGGATTGTTCAGACCGAAATAATCTTTCAGGATGAGTGTGTATATAATTAATAACGTATTTATTGCATTTTTTTTAAAATATTTTTACAATGAAGCTTATAACACAATTGAATTTCTTCTTCCAATAAACGGAACAGAAATGAATCTCTGAGCGGGCTTGGGATATTCTTGAATCTTTGCCATGCTAGACTTGTTGGCACGTTTCTTCATCTGCTTCTTGAGTTCTTGGTCCCGAACATGATCCACGCGTAAACAAATATCATCCAACACATCATGATTGATTCCTGGTATTCTACGAAGCTTTGCAAGTGCCGTGTAGAACCTCTCGTTGAATTCTGGATTCAGGCAATGCGTTGAAGGTTGATTCAACAGGTATATGACTTCAGAAGTGAGAGATTGAACGTCCATAGTGTAACTCATTTGTGCGAGAGTATTTGCTGACTTCTTCGATGATAGGTGGCGTCGGCTTTATGAGCTTCCTTTTTTTCCGGTGGGAATGAATGGAATTCCTGGTGGCAAGAGAATTCAAAGGTTCGTTTCTGAGTGTTTCAGATTTGAACGTTTTAACACTCACTTTATAAACATAATTCCAAAGTTGTAATGAATGAAAATAAGTGACAGGCCAAGCATTAAACGATGTGAACTACTCGCTGGTTGTTTGGTGTGTCTTTCATAATGAGTGGAGGGGTTCCATAACTTCCATTGGCTGGGTCGGATTCAGAAATAAAATACAAAGAAGTTACAATTACTTAAAAAAACAACTATTTATGCATTATTAGCAAAAGTTGAAGTATGGAATGAAGTCAAAACATATGAAAGTAATGTGAAATAAGTAGAAAGATATCGCTGATATGAAATCAAACAATTATAGAGTTCCGTCTTCCATTGAATGGAACATAAATATTCCGCTGAGCAGGTTTTGGTCCTCGAGCCGCAGCCCGTCGCTTCTCTTTGGCTTGCACAAGGGCTTGTCGGTTGATTTCCTTGCGCTGCACTTCATCCACTTTTCACGCATATCCGATCAAGCAAGTCATGATTAATTTCTGGTATCCGTCGCAACTTAAACAGGGTGGTCAAGAACCGGTTGACAAAATTCGGTTCCAACGTCTTGGCAGGCTCCAAACCCAGAAGGAACTTCATGTCTTGCACTAGAGTATCTCCTTCTTCATCTCGGTACTGAGCACATGTGACGTGGGTGGTGTCAATGGTGAGTCCGAGGCCTGTCGAACCAGAAGTTGAACAGAGTTTTGGAAATGATGATGATGGGGATGCCGATGATGAATGGGTTTGCTTTTGTGGCATAATTGATGTTGTTTGGTTAAGTTTGTTTTGAACTTGGCTGGGCCGTCTTATCTGTTTTTATGTGTTTAGTTTGAAGTGACACAATCAGAGTCAGTTTTCAACCTTGAAACTCAACTGAGTGGCGTGACGTTAACAAAGAATTTAATACCAACATAAATACTTGGTTACCAAATGCTTCTTTATTGTAAGTTAAATATTGAAGTAGAAACAACAGGTAATCAACAAAATAGCACCATATAGAAAAAGGATGTACAAGCACCAAGACAGAACTACTTTTTGTCAACAACAACTATATACTTCCCAAAAAGGAAAACAATTCCTAATATCGACATGTCAAGCAAACGCCCCCTTGACCCCCATCCGAATATTCAACGACCAAACATCCTCTACAAAAAACCTCCTCGCATTTACTACAAAAGTGACAACACTCTCCACACGCTAATTTCTCGCAGAAGTGGCATGTTTGCAACGGCTGGGTGCTCATATAAGACATTGCAGAGTTTGCTGCAGAAACGCCACAATGGAAACATAGCAACTGAGACCGTTGCTGCTGTTGCTGCTTGCTGCATGCGACGGGGTAACTTGATGAAACGGCTTGTTAGATGTCCGGGAATCATGTGGGGTATTTGCTGAAGGGGTATATGTTCCGTTAAGTGGCTGGACGGAAAAGTGTTGTTGGATGTGTCCGATAGATGGACCTCCAGGCCCCCCTCCGTACGGGTCAAGGGCACAGCTTGCTTGCTGTGGTTTGAACGAGAAAGCCGCTTGAGAACGCATCAACCGGGCCTGAGTTTCAGCTGTGAAAGCAAAGAGCTGCAACGTCAGTTACCAACCACAGGACCGGATGACGGACGATTACCAACCATGTATCGTCGCCCAGTCAATATCTTCTCTTCGATATTTGAGCATCGATCCGCCTCCTTCGTTTGCTGAAACCTCTTCTACCCGTCGCTTCATTGGTGTTCTTGTCAGGGGCAAAATAAATAAAAAGAAAAGAACCAACTATATTTATTCAAACACTTAAAAACTCTGCACAGCCATTCTTATCGGCATAGTCTCGAAGACACGAGATTCCATATTCGGCAAAATCCTTGTACTCGCAGTAGGCAGTGATCTGGAAAGAACCGGCACTCGGAAACGCATCTATTTGAAAGAAGAAAAAGAAATAAGATGACTTGGCAAAGAAAAGATGTTTTTTTTTTTTCTAAAAGCTCACCATGATAGCTTGGACACAGTTTCTCCGCCGTCGTCCAATTCAATTCGGCTTTCCGCACGGCCTGGTCAACATCCACAGACAGCTGCAGTGTCTCCTTCAAGAGCGGGAAATTTGTATTCGCAAACTCGACTTCAAATTTCGTTGCGAATGGGTCC